ACAACCACGAGCGACAATAATACAATTGAACTAGATTTGATAATGTAGTGAAATTTCAAGGTAAATAAATTACTATTACATAGTGATTACATAACAAACACATTAACCTGGTATTTAAATAATCGATCAACATTGTGTAAACATTAATCACTGGCAATAATTAACTCTTAATCATTTTGACAGTATATACATATCGCCAATAAAATGAATAGAATGTTAAAGGGGAATACAAAAGTCAAATTAATAATAGTGTGAAAATATCTCAAATACAATATTCAACACATTTTTAACAGCAAGAAACTAATGTAACATGTAACAGTTTCATTTTTTGACTTCATTTCCCATCTTAACCCATTTAATTAAATAGCTTATGTTGAGCTATAGTCACTTGACTTAGTGATATGTAGTTGGCTCCAGTCATTGTGAATACATTCAAGTAATAACACTATGAAATTAAATTTATTTAATATTAACAAGACTATACGTTAAACTACTTGATAATCAGGTATGAATAACACATTTTTTATTAGTAGTATAGTAGGCTTGTGGAAATTGTCGGGTTTTCACGAGAGCAAAAGTCCCAGATTTGAGGACGTGGATAAGCACTGTCGAGGAGTCCAGTACTAGAAAGAAATATCTATCCAGTGTCTCCTGAATTCATTAACTATTTAACTAAGACCAATTCATAGTGTCACTTTCACATAGTTGATATTCTTTCCACACTCCAGTACTGATAAATTTAACATACTGATTGATATGAAAATTACTGAGATAGTGTTATTAATCAAGTATTCGCAACAATTTTAAATCATGATATAACTGAATGTATGACTAAATATTTTGAAAAATCGATGAAAGAATGGAAATGTTTTGGGTTTTTAAAAGATATCAATTCCATTAGTACACTACTGAATGTTTAAACATCTCATAGTTTGTATCTGTGACTTATTATTTTGTACATAATAGCTACTCGTATACCTGTTTACTTACGCCTGCTACCCCTCGTGGAAAAGCATAGGCCACTCAACAGCCTTCTCCACCCAATTCTGTCCTAGACAATCTTTTCCATTTTTTGTCAAGTTCTATTCATCCTTTTCATGTCTGCTTCCGACTCCCGACGCAGTGTGTTCTTCGGCTTTCTTCTTTTCCGTTTCCCCTCAGGATTTCAAGTTAGCACTTATCTAGTGATGCAGTTTGATTATTTCCTATCCACCACCAACGTCTTTTTCTAATTACTTCCTCAGCTGGAAGTTGGTTTGTTCTCTCCCATAGTTGATGGTATCCGGCCAAGGGACATTCAGTATATTACGTAGACAACTGTTTATAAATACTTGTACATTTTTGATGATGGTTGTGGTAGTCCCATGATATCTTCATATCCGGTGTTTCCCATTCCGACTTTGGCGTTCAGGTCTCCAACCAGGATGGTCAGATCTTTTACTGGATACTTCGCTATGATCGATTGTAGCCTCTCATAGAACTGTTCTTTGTCGTCGTCGTTGTTATCATTGGTTGGTGCACAACAATGGATAACATTCATTGAAATCCCCTTCTTCTTTGTTTTGAAGGATGTTTTGATGATCCTGGATCAGTGAGATTCCCACCCTTTAAGTGCATCACGTACTTCTTTGGACAGTATCAGTGTAACTCCAAGAATGTATGGAACATTTTACTCTTCGTGACCGGAGTATAGCAGCGTTTCTCCTGTATCTAGCCTTTGCTGTACATCTTGGGTCCAATCGGTCTCACTGATTCCGAGTACTGCCAAGTTTCATCTCCTCATTTCCGTTGCTATTTGACTGCTCCTCCAGTTTTCTCACACCATTCGGACATTCTATACACCTATAAAAATTGTTGCTCCGGTTGTTAGATGGAGAATCGGCCTCGTGACTTCCGAAGAATCTTGACTTTCATTATGAGGCGTCACAATTTTTCCTTCAAATCCTAGGGCAGAGTTTAAATTGTTTAATCTGGTTGGCATGTTTTTTGCAAGACTTTTTTCTACTGGGTGAGGTTGCCGACCTCATGCCCAACTCTCCTCCTTTACCCGGGCTTGGGACCGGCAGTAACTCTGGGAGAGCTACAGACGGAGTTGCTACTCATATAAAAAGAGTTTATTCTAAAAATGATGGGAGCAACATGGCGAGTTGAAAAAGGTATTATCCAAAATAATGCAAAACAACAACAGTAAGGACGAAAATTGAGAAAACTAAAAATTATTTCCAGTTCGTTCTAAAATGACCTACTTTAAGAAAACTTTTTGTTCAATCAACATACAGTGGAGGCTTTCTAGAAGCATTAAGAAAAACGGTGGATTATTTGTTATATTTTAATCAGACAATTAATTTTTTTCCTAAATTTACAGTATTACCAGAAGCCCTCAGAAGCTCAAGGTCACTCACGTATTCCCTTCCGCAGATTGCAACGGCAACAAAAAATGAGTAGAACTTTTTGTGGTTAACTATATGTAGCGAAATGGAAGGCTTAGTATTTCTTCATTGTTCTGTACTGAATAGAGATGGAGATCGTAATCTAACGAGATGTGAAGTTTCCCTTACTAAACAACCTGTGTAACTAGATCCACAAGAGCACGTGGACATGCCTACAACTATTGAATCCTTCGACTAAAATAGTCCATCCATCATACAGAAGTTTATTTGCGAGCTCCCACTGTGGAGCACTTTCGATGAGGCTGCAAAGAATATTTATTTTAAAGGGAACATTTGGGAGATTCTTGAAATTTTCATCCACATTATCACACTTGAGTCCTAGATCAATGTATGAGCTTTTGTTTCGTATTGAATGGTGGTCTGTTGTTAACGGTCCCATACTTAACCCATCTAAATGTCAAGCTGTGCTGAGGGCAGTTAGCAAGTTGTGTGGTGTGTCTTTTGATCATTATTAATATGGTTATAGATAAACATCTAAAGTCATGTAAACTCCTGGCAGGTGTTATCTTACCAGATACTAACGATCCTCTTCATTCATATCTTTTTCCTGATATATCTTCTGACAGAACAAGACGTTAATACATTAAAATCCATGCACGCAAGCAAAGGCATAAAAGTCCTATCATACCTTACCCAGCAAATATACTGTGTGACGAACAGGTGGTTAGTTGACCTAGTCAATAACCTGTATTCTTAAACATTTCTCGAAATGAAAGGTTGTACAGATTCAGACCTTTTTCTTATCTTTTTTCGCTGTTTTTGTAAAAGAAACTTATCGAAACACCTCGTGCTGAGAATTCTATATTTTACCAAAATATAAAATTGAATAAAGCCATAATTAATAATAATCATTTGAGAACTATTTCCCGTCCAATAGTATGTTGTGATCCTATAGATATAAAAATCCAAACTACCCAGTTATTTTAACCACAACTGAAGACATTGATGTGAGGTGGTTGGAAATAGCCAGTAGGAAACCCTGCCTGACTAATGTTTCGTGCTAGCTGGTACTCGTCGGCAAGAGGTATGTGTAACTATAGGAGATTGATGCTCTCTACGGAATTAGAACTGATATCAGCCAAATCCACAGTCTATTACATTACTATTAATTTATTAGAGCTCAAAATGGCCTCTCTCGAAGGATCAAAAATTTACTTTAATTGATCAGTGAGTAGTAACCAATGATATATTTGTACAATCCTTGACCGATAAAGCTCCAATTAGTACTGAAAAGAATTACCTCTAATATCACTACTATTTATTTATTCAAACACATAAACATTGGTGCAATGAGGGGAGAAATATATATGCGCCACCTTTCGTCATCCGATTTGTGTGAGAACTGGGACACTGCCCATACGCCCAAAATGAAGCAGGTGGATTTTTTAGAAGGCTACTCCCAGAGCCTTTGGCCTAAAGGTCTAATCCACAAAGGAGGTGAAGTCCCATGGTAGCCGGTGACTAACAATAGGTTCATACATCATTCGTTCCCTCAGGATCCTGGAGCCCATGTGAATTATTTGTTTGGAATTAAAGTTTTCCTACTCCATTAGGTGGATTCTCCGTACCCACCAACCCGGTTGGAGCGCCGAACATTCGCTTTTCGTCTTCTCGACTTCGTTAAACAAGACCCTCGTCACGAAAAGGACCTTCCTGACAGTGATTGTATACGCGTGGTCATGTGAGAGTATTTCGAGAGGAAGAGCGGACTCTCCTCAATTTCAGTCGTACCACGGAATTTGGGGGCTATATCACAACACCTCACACCAAAATGATAATAAGTTGATCAGTTAAGTAGATTTATGCATAATATTAAATAGAACTATATCCCAATGATGATAATGAAGAGGGTTTGTACACAAATCATTATACTTTTTAAAAAATAAAAAAAAATCAAAACCACACAAACTGAGTACAATTTGTAATTACATAGTTATATAACACGGAAAAAAAAAAATGATCCTGAGCAATAAACGTAGAAAAAGACAATACATGAATAAACCCATTAGCTCATGATACAATCATGTATCAGTAATTGTTTCAAAATCTCTTCGAAACAAAGTAAAGGAAACCACGTTTTGAAATATAAATGATCAATTCAGAAAAAGAAAGACAATTACCAACAGTTATTACAAGAGATCGAATTTCGTAAGTGTGCAACACAAAAACAATGTCGATTGAAAAATACACACAGAATTTATAGATGTGTGGAATGCTTTATGTGCGTTTATCAACAAACTCGAAATGCACCCACACCCACACCCACACATACATACATACAAATCAACTGTGATGATAACAAAATCTTTTCTTCTTTAATAAATAAGTTCATGACATCCTGATAAACGAAACAGGATATTAAATAAACATCAAAAAAGGAAGACACAGAATACGACTTACTCATAAACTTCAAAGAAATGATGATAGATAACAACAATAACAGTGACACAAAACAGAGGTAACGATTAAACACATTAAAAAAACTAAGCATATTTTCATACTGAAATAAGTTTACTTGTTGTTGTTTTTTATAAAGTTAGGTAGATTAGTTTAGAGTAAAAATTTACAAAACATATAAGCAAAAATAAACAACATTAACATGGGTAAAATCCACTGTGAAAATTTTAGTACACGTTTCTCTAATTTTAATAAACGTCTTAATTCATTATATTCATTTACATGAGGAAATGGACAATTTGGTATTGGTAAATTAAGAAATTTACATAATGGTTCCCAACCTTGACTTATATCAAATTTTAATAAACGATCAGATGGTACAGTTTTTATGACATTTTGATTCCAATTAACAAAACCATTCAACATAGCTGTATCATTGGTAAAATCCATATTCTCACCAAATACACGTCTACAATTCATAAGAAATAATTCATGAAATTGTTGTAAACCGATACATTTTCTTAAAAGTTGAAATGACCATGAACGTGGTTGATCTATATCTTTAGGTAATATAGTAGAACGACAACCAGCTAACCATATTTCAGGATCACGGACAGTTAAAATAACCTATTTATGAAATGATAAAATAAATGATTAGTATTTATTTGCGAAACGATGATTTTAAAAATGTGTTTATGTAAACCTTACTCTCGTTAGCATTTTTTAGCAAGATTGTTTTATACTGCACAGAGCTGCTAATCCTATACCCAACTCTCCTTCTTTATCCGGACTTGGGACCAGCAGTAACCCCAGAAGGGCTCCATGAGGAAAACCAAGGCAGTATCACTGATAAACAAAGAGGATCTAATGCAGATGTGAAGGCACAGATTGATAAAACAAGGGCAGCATTCCTACAAGAACATCTGCAATTCGAAACAACTGTCAGCCAACATCAAAGTCAAATTTTTCAATACAAACTCCAACGTAGTTCCACTGTAAGGAGATGAAACTTCAATAATTATTACAACCATCAACAATAAATTACAGGTATTTTTAAACAATTTTCTACACAAGAAACTCCAGGTCCGTTGACCAGATACTACCAGCAACAACCTACTGTGATAGAGAACAAACCAACTTTCAGATGAAGAGAAAATTGGGAAGACACCTGGATGGATAGCACATGCATTGTGGAAATCATCAAATTGCATCACGAGGTAAGTCCTAACCTGAAATCTTCAGTGAAAGAGGAAGACCAAGGAACATATTCCACAGGGAATTGGAGAGCAGAAAACAAAGAAATGGGTAGAACTTAGCAACATCTGGAAAGGAGAACCTAGGACAGAGTAGGTTAGCAAATCCTGGTCAGTGGCCTATGCTCCTACACGAGGGGTAACAGACGTAAGTAAAAAACTAAGTGTATAGCTTAGATCATAGACTCTATGTTAAACAATGATCATAGAAAAGAGGTTACATACCAGTCAAAATGCAAAACACCTGGGAAGTGTTAGCATTATGTCCTGCGGCATACTGATATGTACACCACTGTATGCGTGGCCAAACCAGCTGAGTGAGATCAAAAGTGGGTAGAAAACTTTTATTGGCTAACTGAGTCGAGAGTATATTTATAACTCATTCATAAATATAGACATATGCCTCTAAGAAAATGAAGCGGCATTTTCAATAAATGGCTTATGTCCGTCATTATCTCTTACTTTCCATTTAAATTATATCTGATTAATCCAGTAAATCAATTAAAAATTCCTTACTAATTTTATGAATTTCGCTTCCTCTAATGAAAGTTTTTTTTAAAGTTAATGAAGTATGGCGGATTCATTCACGTTCTCTATAATACAATGTAGTCTCACTAGTCCTGTGAAAAGATGGCTTAGTGGTTCGAGTCTTAGCCACTAATTCCCAAGTCTGAATCCCGCCCCAACCGAGTAATGTATCATTAGCTCTCATATTTAGAATGAGGCTCATAGTCGAATACATGAATTTATAAATAATAACAATAATTGGAGTTTTATTATATGCTAGCGAAGATTAAATTATGGGTAACTTCCGGAAACTGTATATATATCCTTTTATCATAAGCTTCTATTTCACTTATTGACTGCTATTATACGACTTACTATTCCTAAGTTATTGCCAATTTACTAATTACAGTTTCTCACAATCACAACCACTTTTGGCTTGATTTTGTATAATTGTTATTTTCTATTTGATGGTATGTTGAGGTCTGGTTTGCTTGTATATAAACCCAATGTCTGAAATACATGATTTACACGGTAGAAGCTATGTTCTGGACTTAACAGGCAGGCTTGACGAAGGACCAATCAATACTGGTTAACACGTCATTGGTCTGGTAGTGTCAAGGCCATACAAGCCAGTGTTCTAATTGGCAGGATTAACCACGTGACTTAATTAACAGGGCCATAAAGAACACAACAGTTGAGCTTCAAAATATATGGTTTAGCTATGGAATTCTATTTATCATATCTAGATTTGCCCCAATATATTTATTTAACATTCTAGTCATATTATTCATTTCAAAAAAATACGAACTGACATATAAATGTTATCCACTGATTTACTGAATACATAGAACCACTAATGTGTTCAAGGAGTATGATGTTTATATTATAAACATAAGACAATGCCCACAGGTAGCATATGTATCAACAAAAAATTGATGAAAATTCAGTTCCGGCTATCAATACACTCTATACTGTCTTACTGTAAATTAACTATTAAAAAATGTTTTGGATTTGATGTCTTCTCTTTTTCTTCCAACTAAGCCAAAACAACTCAGAGAACATAGAAGGCAAGTTCAAAAGTCAAGAACGAACAAAATACAGATGACTTACAGGTTTTTCTTACCAATTAACCAACTCTTGGCACGTACTAACGGGGAAAGTAATGCGTATACTTCTAACTGACTCATTCAAGAGAAGATTAGACACACAGACAAACTTACTAGAAAAGGCCTAACATATACATTTGATCTCCTGTCCTCAATATACAAATATGGATTTAAGTCGAAATATTATCACTAAATGTTTTAGTTTACTGCGACCGCATAACATTTACGTACCAATTTGGATCACTACTAAGTAATGTTTGACAAATAGTCGGTTTTTCGGATAATAAAAAAATGATACGGTTAACACCATTGTAGATTTTCTAAAGTAACTAAATATAGCAAAATTCTTTCTTAATGGACTAAACAAATAACATATAATTAAAATAACCCATTGTGTCATTAAATAAAAATAGAATTCAAAGAAAATTTTCATTTCGACGAAATCATCCACTTTAGTTGTACATTAGAGTAAATATATATGTCTATAGACAATTATAAATGCGAATGTACAGCTTGAGTAAATGATTTCGTTGAAACGAACATTTTCTTCGCTGAATTTCCTTTAAATGGTATATAGTCCAAGAAAAAAATCTAAATCAACATACGGATCAAAGTACGATAAATGGGAAAACAAATACTTATTACATCAACAAATATAAACAGGTTAAGGTTCATAAGTAAACCTAAACACTCACTTAATTGCATATACAGTGACTTATTGGGAAATTTACATACAAGACAAATTGTGAGTGGAAAGGAATTATGAAATATTTGGCCAAATCACTAATATAATCATGCTTAACTTTGCAAAGCCCTCGAGAGTTTTGTAAACAGTATTGTACAATTTAAAGCGTGTCATTTAAAATGACAGTGGTATTTTCCCTCAGAGTCAAATTTATAGTTTTGATAATTTATTAAGCACTAACAATACTGTCTTTACTTTTATCAAATTAATTTCAGTTAAAGTAACACCAAAAAGTATTGTTTTTTCAAAGAAATTTATCATCTGTGATTTTTGAATACACTGGGTTTTTGTTTGTTGTACTTTATTTATTTATTTTAACACATAGATATCGGTACAAGAAGGCACCAAATACATATGCGCCACACAGATCTCATTTGATATGTGTGAGGGCTGTGATACTGCCCGGGTGCCCAAACCGAAGCAGGTGGTTTTCTTAGGGGGCCACACCCCGAGCCTTTGACCTGAAGATCTGATCCACAAGGCAGTGGAGCATCGTAAGGAGATGCAGTCCCATGGTAGCCGGTGACCAACGATTGGTTCATACGCCATTTGTTCCCGCAGGATACTGGAGCCCATGTGCACCATTGGTTTGGGATCCGGTTAAAGCGCCGGACATTCGCTTTTCGTCCTCTCATTTTCGTAAACAACAATAATGACACGAGAAGGCAGTGAGTAGGACTTCCCTGGCAGGGGCTGTATACGCGTGGCCATGTGAGAGCATTTCGAGAGGGAAAGCGGACTCTCCTCACTCTCTGCCGTGCCAGGGCATTTGGGGGCTGTTGTACTTTTAGACTTAACAGCTCACGGTTTCACTTTTTCTCGTTATCAGTTTTGTCTCCATGTGTTTTTTGTGTCTAATTTGCTTCCAAACCTCTGATTGTTGACTGAAAATGTACCAAAAAGGTTAGTGTTAACAACCCGGCAATGCTGCTGAGACACAAACAGATTGCTATTCGAAGCAAGTGGTGGATGCTGCTAAAAGGCACATTAGCAGACGTAACCGAGATGGATCAAATGACACTCACTCTGTCGATACACAAATCGATGCGAAGTCATCTCAAATGAGCTGAGTCGACTGACTTACATGAACCAAAAGAGGAAGGACCGACTTCAAAGAGGTCAGTCAGAAACGAAACCTCAAGAAAGGGGGTCTATCTTGCCCCCACTCTCCAGCGGAAAGGAAAAGCCTATAAAACCTAATCGTAAGGCTAGGTCTGTTTCTAGCAAGAAAAACAACCTGACCATACAAACCATCGACAATCATTTAGGATCTTATAGTGTGCAACGAGACTGTGATTGCTACTCCAATGAAAGCTGATGAGTGGGCGAGAATCAAGAATAAGAAACGACCAAATGTCGTTAAAGAAAAACCAGTCACCCAAACAGTAGTTGAGAGATTGAAGGCCGATCATGGTGACAGATCAGTCGTCTTTCGTAGATTCAAGGAAAGTGAAAGCTCAGAACCCAGGACATTGAGTTGATAAAAGATCTACTTAATCAGCTAGTGTCTCAAACAAGCTCTAGGGTCACCTCGCTAAAGGTTTATAGACAAAATCAAACCAAGCTGCTAAATATCCCAATGAAGAACTTAAGACTACAGGATAAACATAAAATAAAGGGATTTGGATTTCTTGTCCGTAAAGACTTACCGCTCACGAACAGTACTAAAAGACCAGAAGCTAAAAAGGAACTTGAACTAAGTTTAGATGTTGGCGAGGAATTTAGAAATTTCAGGTGAGACTTTGACAAAGAATGATGCCAAAGCCATTTTGGACGTAGCATGAAGCAATCTAAACGATCTTCGGATCTGCTACACAAATGCCTGCGGCTTTCTCAACATGCGATCGGAGCTAGGTGTACAGATAGATTCTACCAAGCCGGATGTAATCGCCGTCATAGAAACTTGGCTGACGCAGTCTCTAAACAGTAGGGAAATTTATTTAAAATGTTCTACATTGGCAAGAGCCGACAGAACCCAGAAGCGTAACAGAGGAATAGCTCTATTCACTAGAAATATTCTCCTTGCCGTCAGCGATAACATCTTGTGAAAGTGAGACGTGTGAATTAGTTATTTACCGCTTGAAATGCAAAGGACAAGAGCTTCTGATTGGTTTGGTTCACAGTGAGGTGAATGAGGTTTCGCTAGATGGTTTCAATACTTAGTCGTCAAGTGGTCAGTGTTGTTATTTTGAGAGACTTTAATGAACCTATGGTGGAATGGGAAAATCTGAGGACTGAGTTACCAGAAAATTCTTTAGAGCAAAACCTAGTTCACGCGGTCATCAAATGTAGCCTAGAGCAACATATGAAAGAAACAACTAGGCACGACCCGAACTCCGAATCATCCTTAAAAGATTCCACATGAACCGATTATGAGGGGGAATCTCGACGACAACCGGATTCTTTCCGAAAAGTAGCACGGCTTTAGAACATGTTATTTATGTCTCAAAAACTTCCTAGTAGACTGTGGAATTCGGTGTATTGATAAAAATCAAACGTTACCAACGGATGAGGCCTACATTGGCTTCAGTAAGGCTCCATGCTCTCCTTTCATAATCGGTTATAGTATACACCGACAATGTCAGGATATGAAAAGGCATAAGTAAGAGTGATAGTTTAGGCCTTTAAAATGACCTGAAGAAATTATCCGAATGGTCTGAAACTTGGCAGTTGCCGATAAATGCTTCCAAGTACATAATGATGCAAACTGGTCACCAAGATACATGGTGGATAACACTTAATTACCTGTTTGTTGTCTAGGGACACAATGATCCAGGAGTCAGCGATGAACAAGACTTGAGAACTACTGCATACTACCGTGTGATAGACGCTCAAGGTTTTAGAACCCTATGGTCAATACCTAAAGCCATTGATCATATCGATGCTAAAATCTTTTCGGCTTTGTATACAGTATTCATCCATCCTATACTCGAGTGCTGCATGAAAGCGGCTAGTCTCTGAATAGAAAGAGATAGTGAGTTGTTGAGAACGGTTCAAAGAACAGCAATTAAACAGATTCCCGGAATAGCACGGGTTCCGTATGATGATAGTTTGTCTAAATTAAACCTGAATCCCTTGTCATATAGAAGAACTAAAGGTAACCTGATCAGCTTCTAACTACTTAATGACTTGTTGACATCTGATATGCTGTCATCTTTCTTATCTTCCGAAACAAAGGATTTACGAAGACACTGTAAAGATGCTCACAAGCCCAGAACAAATAACTTGTCAGCTGCCTATTGAATTTCCCACCAAGTCATCAACCAATGGAATTCACTATTTCAACACGTGATTGAAGCTCCATCTGTAAACTCATTCAAAAGAAAGTTGGATCAACTGAGATACCGCCATTCCCGGGATTAACACAGATCTTGCAGCCTCCGATCCTCGACGAATGGATTTTTAGTATATGTATGAGATTGTCTAAAATCCTAGTTACATAGATCTGATGCATTTAATACAAAGTGCAGATCAGCTATATCTAGAAAGCTGACCAAGTGCTGGCTGTTGTATACCACTGACAACGCTTGTCAGTCCCTAACTTAAGATATGGTACTCCAATCTAGGCTAGACAAAATAGCATTCACAAAGAAGAGCCGCGATGAAAAACATAATCTACAGTTTTTGTCTCGACTGAGAAATTTGGTGAAGTGGATACGCAAAATAATAAATTACTAATTATTTGTGCCAACTCACAAGCTGTTACACTTCGCAATTGGACACTAAAGGAAGTAACTAAAAGAACCAGACGAACAAATGATGAAGATAATATTGGCATATTATACGTTATTAAATGTTATGCCCGACGAAGCATCTACATATATTTTATGCTTGCAATAAGATTATGTGAAAATAAATACCAACCATAGACTCACTTTTGCATTAGGATAAAGTTCTAATAACTCCTTGTAGTATGCACATGAAGGATGATCGATGGCAGCCGTGTATCCTTTGAAAATTTTATGACACAGAGCTTTATCAAGTTTTTTATCTGGTGAATCATTTAATTTCCTATCAAGTTCCATCCATTTCGTGATGTGTGAGTGTTGATGCAAGTATATTTCCTTTAAATGATAGCAGGGCTTTTTATAAAGCAACTCTAAAGCAATTTTTAAACTGTTGGTACCAGTGCGACCCAGACCCGCACCTATCACTACGAGACCAGACTCCTCGTCCTCACGACCCATTACACACGAGTGATAACACCAACTGAATCGCACATACTTTATTCTCACAAGGTCATCCATTCGTTCTGCCATCTGATTGGTCAAAATCCAGTTGACCAATCAACTGATAGAATATTGTGACAGGCGATACAGACAGGTCAAATTGTTGACGAATGTGGCTTCAACATGAAGCATTCAGTTTGAAAAGATTAATGGTGCCGTTACATAAAGGACCGTTTCTAGAGAAATTACGGCGAGACTGTAATTTATGGACGAGGTTGTGGACGACTCCCAAGGTCACTTCAGCATCGTCGATAAATTATAGTCTCACCGAAATCACTTATATGAAGTGGGATTCGTCCCCCTGATAAAACTCGAAGAGTATTATTTAGGAATCTATAGAAAGAGTTAACATGAATCTTTTTCTTCAACCATTCAATATATGGAATATTGGATACTTTTATCATAGATACTGGAGATCATCTACCAACAGCATTGAAATATACTCCCTACTAGTATAATTCTGTAAAACAGTGGGTATTTGTGTACTATTGTCTCCTTAGCTGGTTATATATCAAACAATCGATAAAGGTTTCACATTTCTAACCCTCTGTGAATAGTGAACGCAGCAAGCAAAGATCCAACAGTTTCAAATCATAAAACATTAAGTTCGATAGATGTATTGGAAATATCAGTAGCAATAAGAATTTCCACAGTTGGTTTGAGAAAATGAAGACCGGCTTAAATTCAGGGAAAGATTACCAATTATTATGGCTTTATAACATTAATGGTCGTAGAAGTAACCCAGTGATATGAAACGTTTTCAGATATAGCTTCTATTTTTTTAGTTAAATGACTAGAGGTTCAGGTATATAGAGAGAGCAAAGGCTGAATACCACATCTGAGTGTATTCAGTACAAATTGAAAATATCATTAACATCTAATTCCTATTTTAAAACCACATTGTGTAGTAATATAGAACTTCTGATCAAAGGAAGCAAGAACAATGAATCGAACAAAATAACATGAATTTATTTTATTTCTCTAGGTTCTCATTAGATGCTTACAACCTATAGTATTTTAAAATAACAATTATTAGAAAGTCCAACTATTTATCACAGTAAAATTGGATATGTATCATCATGGTGGATTAGCGATTCGAATAAATGTCATGAGATTAAAGAAATATGATGAGTGTTGTACATAAATATATGTGAGAGAAGATTTTGGATCGTCAGTGACAAGACATCATAGAACTAGAACAATAACTTGATTATGTGATAATGTAACTGGACACAAATTGATAGCAATTAGGAATAATACGAGTTGAGATCAGTCATTCAAAAATGAAACTAAAGCTTTGAAGGAAGTGGTGCAATTAAAATCAGAAGGAGATTTGAGTGAGAGATGTAATAATCTGACGATGAAGCCACTATGCTAAGGAGAGATTTGTTACTGTCTACTTATGGATAAACAGGTCCGACTTAAGAAGTTTGATGGCTACCGTGATGCACTGCAACGACCCGATACGCGTGAATGACCTTAAGCAACCAGTACACCACAAGGTCGAGGAAGACTGATACTATTTGCCTCAAGGTTGGCCCATGCAAACTAGCCCCGAGCAAAGAACTGAAGGCTAATGTTCATGACTCCAAGATCGTTATTATATTTCAGATGTTCATTTGTATACACATAAGACCAGACTACGCAACAAACCAGTTGGGTCACAGTATCACCACGAAACAACAACATTAATTATAGAAAAACGGAATACTGGGTGCACATATGATCGGTCCTAGTTTAAGAGTGGAAAATGCTATGGCAGCAAATTACGGCTCAAATAAAAGCCTATATTTAGGATAATAAAGCCAAAATACCTAATAAACATGCAGTCAATATATATAAATCAAGTCGTAGGAAAATAGCTTCGAAAGTTTCTCTCTCATAGTTAAATTGTCTCTAACATCAGCTTTGGCTTAGATGGAGTTAAGAAGAATAGTTTGATTGTCGACTAATGACTAAGAGATCATAGTATATCAACGTGCTCTCGTGTATTAAAGAGATATCTGGACATAGCATTGCTGAAAGCGGCTAGTCTCATTAACCTGGGACATACTGGGATGTGTTTTAGAATCGAACGTAGACCCTTCCTGTCCTGTCAATGTAACCGGTTCGGGAAGTACATGTGAATTTGTGTAGGCAGTTGCAACATATGACCGGTAAACGATGGAACTTCACCATTTACTTAGGTCGGGTATGTGACTTTCTGCACTGTAAGACTTTTACTCGTATCTGCAAAAACGAGTCGCAATTAGGTCATCCCTAGGTTAGCCTTGGATGAGAGTCAGTTGAAAATTATGCTATTACGGTAGACTTTCTGAGTACAAATGTTTCCTTGACTGATGGCATTACTTCGCACAGGATACCGTCTTCGAGTTCCAGGCACATTAGGAGTGGTTTTCCTCACCGCTAACCGATTTGCATCTTAATCTGTTGCATCTAATACGACAGAATAATAAGAGTAACATTTGTTGAATGTGGAAACTGGTCGATGTGATACCATTATTGTATATTCAAATGATAAGTTACTGACCAACTGATCCTTAATACTTAGTTCAGATTACATAAACCCTAGTGTTAATCTGACGTCAAATAAATAATATAAAAAAACTGTATTCAGACATCATTTTGATTTGTTTTGGGCATTAAATAAATCCTAATCACCTGTCTGTTTTCTAACCATGCGTCGTTATACTTGGAGTTTTAGTAACAATTATGAGTTTGTTAGGCCTTCCGCAGACTTTACATTATCTCCTATTCATTCGTAATAGAGAACCTATTTTGATCAAGTTGCCAACTACGAAGACTCACAATTCAATGTGACCTCAATGTTCCTATGCTGTCTGAATGATCATTCGGTGCTCTCTAATCATCGAGCCTATTAAGAACAAATGAACTGTGATAAACTTTCACGTTAAAGGGAAACTCTTCCAAAATGCATGTATTTCAGACACTGAAGAAATAATTTTCAAGACGTGGATTAGGACTCGTACACTTCTTACTGATCACTTCAGATTCCGTTTGATATATATCAGTCTTTATTCGCGTTGAGTACCAAAGTGCACGCCTTTACGTGCAACACAATGAGTTTTCCTTACTGTCGTATATAAGTCAAATGCCGAGGGCGGGGAGTCAGCTCTCACATGGCCACGTGCATACAACCACTGCCATGGAAGTTCCGTACCAAAGAGATATTCCGAAATAGCATTGCTTAAAGCCGTTAGTATCACTGAGCGTATGTTTAAATGCGATTTGGTCACTCAGCTTTGTCAATAATGTGGGTTTGTTATAACTTGTTGCCTGTGCGCCCTGCTAATGTATAACGTAACGATAACGCCAATCAGAGAGCAGTGGATTATCGACCGGACTAACAACACGTAAAACAAGTGCGAGCAGTCTAGAGTCCTGATTGATCTTGCTTTCCGCCTAGGCCAGCCAGTTAAGTCCAGAACACCAATATCAGCCTCTGCATTATGAATCATGTATTTCAAACATACTCGGTTTATATACCAACCAGACAGACCACATCGTACCATAAAATAGGAAACAACATTTGCACAAGATTTGGCCAAATGTGTATGTGAACGTAGGAGGTAGTAATTAATAGACAGGGTATAATTCAAGAATAGTAAATCATATAATAATAGTTCATAGATCAAAATGAAGCTTATGGATAAGGGGGATATGAATAGTTTAATTATTCAACAATTATACGATAAAAATGTACGTATAGTATTGATCTATAAATGGATCACAAAAGTTACTATTCATTATGCTTATCGGGACATAACAGGGTTGATTCGTTTACCCCTTGAAAGGATGATGCAATAGGTTCATGATATGTTGTATGACTACTTATCAGATTTACTTTGAGTCTTGACAATAAACAGAAGAGGATGTTGTACGTGCACCCAAGACAAACCTTTTAAGCTGTTCTAAGTTGTAGCAAATGCCCAACAGTCCATCTAAGTGTTTCTATGCACACTAGATACGTACGTGGCACTAACTAGGACATTGGATAAACGTTCGTAACATCATCCCTAACTCACGATCCTATGGTCATGGTAAGTCACGGTGTCAATACCACGTATCACTGCAGCTAAAGGGCTTAGAATCACCTGATAATAATGATTGACTCTAAGATAGACCAACACATGTTCACCACAGTAAACGGAGCCTTAGTGTAATCAAAACTAGGTAATTGTATACAAGTTACAAGACACTGTCTCGACGCGACTGAGAACTTTTGAAGTACAGAACACCGACAACCACGAGTGTAGCTTGTCATACAGTGACCGACTTGAGAAATCGTATCAAATATGTGGATTAATTACGATGCATATATTGCCAAAAAATAATTTTGAACATGGTATATCTTCATTTTTTTTAGTTGTCATGAAAACTTAGATTTAGTATGAAAGTTTAGGAACAAGTGACGAAAAATACCCTCAGGGTATACAAGTTCCATCAAGTAATCAAGCCTCGGAAAGTACTGAACAAAGGAGTGTTGTCTAAGCATCAGATAGATACACTGAAGAGAAGACTCGTGATATAGTATATGATCATGTTAAGCCACAACCAAGTGTGTGGACAGCAAACATAACAATCATACAGAAGTACGCTGTAACAACGGATTGGTCAGTAAATCACAGCTCATCGACCGAAGAAGCATGGTCCGCATGGCTTGGTCACGTATCCGTTTATACTATAATTAAAACCACGTAGACCCAATAACTTCCCATCATGGATAACTAGAGGTCAAGAAACTTTTTTGAAGTAGGGAAAAACGTTGGAATGTG